AGAAGTGTGAGTGCTGCACCGGCAATGATCATGCAAAGACAGTAAGGACCGCCAACGTTTTCAGCTGATTGCACGATGACCTCACAAAACCAAGAGTGATACTGTTTCAGGTGCTTGCAGAACCATGTGACCGGTAAATGTAGGGCTGCAGGGATGCAGTTTTGCAGAATACGAAGGAGTGAGGGAGGGGAAAGGTGGCGGGGTGCAGGAAGAAAAATGGCTTAGCCTGCCTCCGAAATGCACTTCGAAAAATTTTCCCCCTAGATTTGACGCGCCTTCTTTTCACAGTTGGGACCAGGATTGCAGTTTATCAGAATACGTTTTTTAGGGTCGAACCCCTAAAGGCCATGACAAATGCAAAAATAGGGGATAAAAATGACAGCTATGAATAGAAAGCTGCTTCTCTGGTTAAAAGGCACAATCCCGCCTCCCTCTCAAACTGAATATGAAACTACGCATCTTTAGGCTGATTATTTTAAAGTATGCCTTTATCTGATAGCTTTTTTTGGTCTAGTCTTGACCGTCGTTCACTGTTTGATGGCCGGCTAATAACACTGTGGCGCAAATGAACTCCCGAAACGAAAATGTTTGATGGTAATGCCGCTTTTCATTCTATTTGTCTTCGTTTTTGTGGTTTATTGCATTTAGGGGTGTGTTGCAACGTTTTCTAAAAGATTTGGCTCCAGGTGGCGATATAGGGGGTTCCGAATTTCGTCAGTGACAGAAAAGGCACTTCTTCAACCCTGGGTATCGCACCATCTCGCTGGAGCCACCCCCGCCCCGACCGGTCCCGTGAAATCGCACCAGGGCGGTGGTGATGGGGCGCTGTAGGTGTGCTGACGGGATCCTCGATTCGTCCTCAAAGAAGTTTCTACTATAACGGTCACGATTTAAATGTGAGATCACTGGTTGCTGTGATTGCGTCTTATGCTGTGTTGGCATTGCGTGACGATTGGAATGCCCCTGCAGTCTTGATAGTGCGAAAATATACATATCACTGTCGAGTAAAGCATGTCTGACTTTGATCTGGGAGAGATAAAGATGCACGCCGAATAAACGGTGGTTTCGCACAGCCTGTTTGTTTCACTTTCAGCCGTTTCTACCTGGCATTATTATATTGTCACACCGAGAACCTACAGCATTTACGGGAGACGTCACTTAATGTTTCTAGTGCATGTTCTAACGGCAAGAATGGACATATCTTAGGGCGATTACGTTCACGTTACTGGGGATCAAACAATAAATGTGCCGTCCTTTACATTGGCAATTTGTCCTTGTGTCACAAGGACTGCTTTCTTAGTTATTATGGTACGAGCCGATTAATTTTAGGCATTGAGAAGCGTATACATCTTAGGTTGGGCAGCTAGACCAATAACAGGGACAAGATTGCCTTGCGATCCAGGAACTATCTGATGCAACAGATCGCTGGTGAGGCGCTACAGACGACTTTTTAAAGAGAGCATTGTATTACATTACGGATGACACGCATAATTTAAGTTCCGACGGAACAGATGGCATGTGGTGAACGATCTTTTTCCCAGGAGTGATAGATGTCTCCTAATGTTTTTCTTGTCTCAGAGTCTTCTGAAGGTTGTAGATATTTTGTCTGAGAACATCTGGAGGTTTCCAGGATTATAGAAACCTTGCGCCGTGTTACATCACGGCGCGAGGTCCTTTCCATACAAATTTGAATACATGTTTGAAATTTTCGCCGTTATGATTGGTCAATACGAATATAACATGAGTGCAAATACAACAAACACTGACAACTGCGTAGGCGAGACATATCCATACAGGTTACATGATACATAACAGAGCATTAATTGATATAAAGTTGATCCGTAAATAATGTTATTAAGATACAGACTCGCTCTGGCTTTATGCGCACTAAAACTCCTTAGGCAGACGGTGACGCTGCTTGCTGAGTTTGAGAACGGCATGCGACGGGCGTGGGCCCGTTGAGACCTTGATATTTATTTGTTTATTGGTTTATCCTCTTTCAGCTCCAGCAGAGCAGCGTTCCACGAACAGGCGAAACCATTTAAATGAAATAAATAATTTACACAGCACACAGTTGCATGAACATAAGTAAGGGGTGACATATTGCAAAGCTAAGTCAGCATACAATAAAGTTCAGACGTGAAGAGTTCTTGATGACCATCAGGTGTGCTCCCGACCAGACCAAGTATTTTATCGATATAACTGAGCTCGGACATGTGTGTAAGCTTAGAAAACTTTGCGTAACACTGGATAGCAAAGTAACCTTCGCTTCACACGTCTCTGACATGATTAGTTGGGACAATCAAGCACTTGGTCTCATTCGGTCATTCCAAGTAGATACCAGCAGGTTAAAGTTGAACCGAAACGCATTCCTGAGAAACATCTTCCAAGAAAAACTGGACTCTCGAATCTGTGCCTCTTGCTTTTGCCGCCTCGATCAACCCGCACCCGAACTCTGTTCGCTGTACCACGCGCTCGTGTGCATACACTGCAGAGCGGTCTGTTGTGCAGAATGTCAAACGTTGGGAATATTTTTGTAGCTAGCAACACACGCGTGGATATCTTTCAGGACAGTTTGAGCCTTTTTAGCATTCAAGAGATCAAGTATTCCATTAAGTATTTTTGCTGACTTCAAGTGATGAAGCATTAAAAACCGTGGCCAAAAGTTAGCCCCTACAGCAGGAATTGCAGGAAGCGTGGAGGGACGGGTAATGCTGGGTATCGCCGGATGAAAACGTTGCATTAAAAGCTTCCAAAGGATACTAAATCTTCCTAAGTTTTTCAAAACGTCTGGCGACATGCATTTGTCAACTTTGCGTTTTCCCACACCACCCGTCCAGGATCGATGAAGCTTCCAGACGGCGCGTGGAACAGTAAACGAGCCGTCCGTGGCCATAAACTTCTCCGAACGAAATAGGATCATTAATGACGAAAGGAACCTGAAACGCCAGCTGCGAAAACCTGCGCCTGGTTGCCCCCAGACAACAGAACGGCGCCGGCTTGAGAACTGACTGGCGGGGCGGGAGCGGTGCCCTGAATCGGACTCTGCGCCTTATCGGCTATCATGGCAGAATTTCAGGGGACAGCGGCATGCTTTCCGTTTCGGACAGCATCTTCAATGGGGAACGTCTTCTACGGGTGGGCCAGGCGAGGTGGATGGACGTGCGGCTCCCGATCAACGGTGCAAGAAGAAAGCAGCACATATGCTCCCCCCCCCCCCCCGCCCCCAGATTACCGCCGCGACACGCCAAGCAGGCATTGGGTCAGAGGGGACGCGCGGAACCCATCCGCGGCAAGAGCGGGCCGACCCTGCACCGCCGCCGGCGACGCGACGCTCGAGCTCCGGCCCCGTGGTGTGCTGGGGCCGAGCCTTGGAAGTAGGTCTGGCCGACCCGGCAGCCCACTGGACAGAGGGGAGGTTGCGGCCAGGCCATTAGCCAAAGCGAGAAAAGAGGGCGGGCTCATCCAGTTGGAGTGCAAATAAAGCATCGTGCAAAGGCGATGGGGAATCTGACATGAGCCGAGAGATGGGGTCAAGGCATCTCCAGGGCAGAGGGTGCAAGTGCAGTGCATCGGGAATTGACGGCTCTGCGTGGCGAGCGGGAAGGCATTTCACTGGATTCCACTGGCGACGAGACACCGGCAACAACCCGTACAAACTGAGCCTACAGAGCAGTCGTCCTCCATCCCAACCGGACCAATGGCTGCACGCTCCGATGACTCCTCCCCACCAGACGGGTGCATGCCACGAAAACCTGTTCCCTCCCAAGTCATTGGGGAAGAGTGGGGGGGGGGGGGGGGGCACTGGTCATGCAGCCGCCCCGGCCCGACACTACGCCTCGGAGCGAGAGGTGAGGCGACCCTGTGACCCCGGAATTAAAGACGGGCGATATGACCCGCGTGAGGATTTGCAGGTCATTATTGAATATGTGTAAATGACTGTAAATACAAGTCATTAGCTGCGAAAAAGTAGCACTAAAACATGGCCATGAGTCAGGAGGAGTCAGACGACGGTAGCCCTGCTTTCACGCAGATGTTTGATGGCTTACTTGGCTCAACGGCACAGTTTCGTTCCTCTTGCGGACCAGGAGACGGTTGACTCGTTTCTTTGTGTCTCACTTGGCCTCAGGTGTGACGGCACGAAGAGGCTTAAACCATACTCTGACAGGGAAACGGTGAAATACGGAGAAACAGCCGGTCATGGTGACTACCGTCCCGCCAATACCCAGGTCACCCTCGTCATCCTAACTCTGTGGTTCACGTGTGTGTGTGTGTGTGTGTGTGTGTGTGTGTGTGTGTGTGTGTGTGTGTGTGTGTGTGTGTGTGTGTGTGTGTGTGTGTGTGTGTGTGTGTGTGTGTGTGTGTGTGTGTGTGTGTGTGTGTGTGTGTGTGTGTGTGTGTGTGTGTGTGTGTGTGTGTGTTGTGTGTGTGGTGTGTGTGTGTGTTGTGTGTGTGTGTGTGTGTGTGTGTGTGTGTGTGTGTGCTCTTGTGTGCCGTGAAAACAGAGGACCAAATCCGGTTACACACCCAACAACCTGTCACTGCCGAGGTCCGGTATTCACTACCGAGGTCCAAATGCCGGACCTCGGTTTTCAGAGGCCTTAAATGAGATATTTAGTCTTGTTTGAACATGTTTATTCGATTTTCAGCTGGTCCTCGAAAAACGTAATTACACGCATTTTTACTTCCGGTTGTGTAAAGTGTGTTATCTTGGACGAACTGCGCCCGTGTGTAAGTTTTTCAGGTGGCAAGGTCACGTGGAAGAGAATAGAGATGAATAAGGAAATGCGAAATCGCGCTGCTCCATGATGTGGTCTCATCACTTGTAAGTTGTTTGCGTTTGGTATAAGCATTTAAACCACATTGAATCACGTTGAAACTGGTGATGAAAGATATAAATGTAAATTGTGTTAAGTCACATGGGATACATATCTCTATCGCCGCCATTGCGCGTTCTTGGAACGAGCGCGACGGTGACATTGCGGTGTGCGGCCTCTCGGACGAGAAGACGGGGCTTACGTTGGATGCAAGTTATTGTCGTCCGGCAAGGTTTTAAAAAGTGAGTAGTAAATATTCGAAAGGGATTGGTGAACCCTGTTTACCGTCAACTGTAGCTAATGGAGGACTGATCTGCCTTGGTTGATTAGAGAATGGTGTGCTGATAAGGATAGTTGCTGAAGTGGCAAACATTGTGTTAGCTTTTGAAGGTGGTTGAAGAGATTGACTTCAGCAATATTATGCAATTGTCTGGGTAGGTTTATCACGCTAGACCAGACGTTTGTAAGGGGGATGCTTGCAGTTTTTCTCATGCATTTGCAGTGGGTGTTGTATTACATTTAAAAAATGTTGCCGTTAGGTACTTACAGACATGTTCCCCAACCCCCTAGAACAAACACGTTTTCAGAGGCTTTGGGCATCAATTTAGCCTTGAAGGGGAAATCATTACAAACATAAGGTTTTCCATACATCGGAACCTTAGTGTGTGGTAGATACCAGAGCATAAAAGGGTGTGTGCCACATTTGTATGGGTTTCAATTGAAATTAGCCATCTTGAAGATCATTCAGTATGTTACACAGTCCTGCCATTCTTAAGCACCCTTCTAATTTTGTAAACCTTTCTAGTTTCTGATCTACACACCTGCAAAGGTGCGAATATTATTTCGTGGTGACTATTTCAAGGTCACCCAGGCACCCACAACGCGTAATGTCTTCAAATGCTGCCATTTCATTGGCCATGGGGCGATTAAGGCAAGCCATCATATGACCGTTGCGTCGTTCATATCCGGCTTTGTGAATGCATTTTCAGACATAACGACCGTCGGTTGGCTCAAATCAATGTTGTGCAAGATTACGTAAGTTGTTCAGTGCATTAGCATTAGCAGAGGAGCATTTTTCAGATAGCTAAGACAATATTAATAGCCTTATTCGTCGAAGAAAACCGGGAAAATAAAGATATAGTTGAATTGATATTTCGGCAACATGCCTATATCGAAAAAGTAGCAGAAATAAATTCAAAATTGCCTGCTGGTGGCCCTACCCGATTTTTCAGCTTTTTTGGAAATAGAAAGCCGGTTTTTACAGGACACCAACTCTTAGAGGATTAAACAAAAAGTTATTGCTAGCCGTTACCACGATACGGTGCTTATCTAATAATTAGAATAGGCGACAATACGTGTGCATGCAAACTAATTCAAGCAAGTAGGCGTCATGCAGTACGCTTCATTCAAACATACAAACGAGTTGAGGTTAACAGGTATCACAGTCGCGCATCAATTATACATGCAAGCGATTTCAACTGAACAGACATCGCACATCACGCGTCAGGCGTCACTTCACATGTTAACTATTTTAAGCTAGCACACATCGCATATAAAGGCACATATCATGTTCGCAAAATCGGCCAGGATGAGCTTTGTATGTTAAAATTTGGTCGCTGATTTTTTGCAAGAATAGATTAAATTTTTCCCTACCTGGGTGGTCCTCTCCTCTGTAGACGACTTTGGGCTCTAAAAGGGGCATAGGGTCCATACCTCCCTCGATTTCAGCCTGAGCATGTTTTGCCAAAAAATGGTCACCGAAAGGGGTATTCCCTGTTTTGTTTGAGTCTATGTCGGGAAGTCCATACGTCCCTCACGTTTAAGATACAATGAACACCTCCGGGGCGCTAAAAACAAAACAAAAAACTTACTTAGTCCTTAGTTAATCTCCACCCACTGAATAATTTTTAGCATTGTTGCTGTTTCAGGTGATGTTATAGCTACTGGACATTGAAGCGATTGAAGACCAGAAAGCCTTAGTGCGACCGGCTTGATTCAGGTCAATTGATGTCAGGAAAGTCAAATTATTTAGGAAATGACTACTCTGAAGAGGGTGTGAATCATTTGTGACATGTAGAATTTGTTGTCATCAGCTCTAACCTAGCATTTCATGCATGCTTTTCTTTCTCTATCTACCCCATCACATTGTCCAACACTGCCAACACCACTGCATCGTCCGACCCCCACAAATATGCCACTACACTGCCTGGCTCCACCATCCCTATCAGTGCCTTAACCAGTAGGATGTCATTACAGTGCATGACACCATGCACCCCACCACAATGTCTGGGTCTACCCATCCCACCATGGTGTCTGACCCCTCCAGCTCCATGCGAGTGTCGGCTCCATGCAGCTGACCCCATTGCCCTGCCAGTTTCACCAGTGTCTGATCCTGCCAACACCACCAATGTCTGCCTCCCCCCCTCCCTACCACTGTGTGACCATAACAGCTCCTGCATGGTGCGTGACCTCAGTGTAACGCCATTTTGTTATATTATATTTCATTCCACCATCCTCATCGCTGGTCTACGCAAGCACGTGTCGACTGTACCAGCCCCACTTTATTCTGCAACCAACGCCACCACCACCTGCACCAACACCACTAACATATCGCGGACTGCAATTATGTAAGTACACCCGCATCCGCGTTATTGAATGGTCTTGTCAACATTTAGTGCTCCTTCTCTGTGGCACCACCGGTGCATGGCGTCATTCTTTAATGAAACATGCAAAAACATTTTTGTTCTCAGGTGGCCTATATGTATACCATTGGGAGAGTTAAAGAAGTTTAGTCCTCTAAAAGAAGTCCTCCGGAAAGTTTACTGCAACAAAGGTAACTCGGGCTATATTTGGGATGCTTAGGGACTTACGCGCAACAGCATTTTCATATGCTATTTGCAATATGGAGCATGATATTCTTCGGGAAGGACGGATTTTGGGGCGTTCGGGTCATGAGTTCGAGCTCATGGGTCCTCGAGAATATTTACCGCGGGCACGGCTACCCGAAGAACAATGAGAAGCATTGGCGATGGTGGAAATAGGCCTCGTAAGCAGTTTCCCTGCCAAATTCGAACAGGTGGGGTGCAGACGTTGCTTTAAAAAGGTTTTAGTCACTGGCAAGTCTCGGTTTTTTCATTGTATGTGAAATGTGTATGGCTTAGGATGTTTGCTGCAACATAGTTTCTTTAATTATTTCCTATGAATGGGACGATTGAACCAAGCCTTGGATCATTACTATATGTTGTTTTACGCATTTGACGACGGGATCAATGATATATATATATATATATATATATATATATATATATATATATATATATATAATATACATCACCAACGCCGGTTTGTTTGCGCGGAAATCACCGACGCTTTCATGAGCGTGGGGTCCGGCCGCTCACTGAACATAGCTTGTGGTAGCGGGTTTGGCTGCCACATCCGGCTCCGGGCCATAACGGTGTTGCCAAAAATCCATCGAGGGGACACTAAGCATGGTTCTGGTCTGCGCACTCCGGGTAGACCAAAATGCCTGCGAAGAGACCTCGTCTGCGGGGGCTAGACAGACGAGTGTCTCGCAATGGCGTGGAGAAGCCCATCCGCAGCAAGGAGGGGTGTCGGTCTTCCAGCGTGTCACGTTGTCAAAAACAGTTGCGGCGTTGGTGTGCATTGGGGCTGCCTCCCATCTGTTTCGCGGCCAGTATCACGGTGTGACGTCGGATAGTTTCAAATGCGATGGTCAGGTCAGCGGTTTGGTTGTCTGGTCTTTTTGTAATTTTTGTTGATGCATTCACATATAGCGTGCAATCACACTCACAATACGCACTCGATCCAAAATCATCTATCAAATATATCATAATGTTTGCATCATGGCGCACACTACCTTCATCCTGCACTACCCGCGATATGGCAGTGATCAGAAAACTGTCCACTCTTACCAACCAGCCAGTAGACATACACTTGGGCTAGGGGGGCGTACTCGCCCGGGGGCTGGGATGACGGTCTGTGGGCCACCGCCGCCTGTCTGTCGTAGTTTCGTCATTTCTTATTGATGCATTGTTTGAGCTTAGAGGCAATAAGCTTTTTACCACAACTCGTTTCGGTTATGCCTCGCTGTCTTACGACTGTTAACCGTATGCCGTGCATGAACAGCATGGCATTGGCAGGGCGTAGTAAGCCTAGGACATCAGGGCATGGACTCGCATTTGCCGCATGCGGCCAGCGATGATACTGGAACTGTTGCTCTTCTCTAAATCGATTCCCATCGCAGCTGTGCGTGCGTGGCTACAGGAATGAAGACAGGCACGCCATAGTTTGCCAACGGGCGCGCGTACCATGCATGAGGGCCGTCCGAATCACGGTAGCTGCTGATCGCGTTGACGATGAATGTTGGCGACTCTGCTGTCGTTGGCCTAATTTCAGGTTAAGTTCGGCTGCGTGGCTAGAGCTTAGTACGATTTATTGTTGTCCCCCTCTCTCCGCCCCCATCGCCGCCCCATCACTTCCTCCTTCTTGACGGCAGTGCATGAGCTCTAACAAGATGGGTAATATGTACGCGGACGGGAGGCCTGTGGCCTCCGATATTCATTCACGGATTTGCTGTGAACTGGAAAGCTATCTTTCGGGACACGACTATTGCACAGCTATTTTAATTCCACCACCCGTGAGCCATCAGCGTGGTGCATGCCCACGCTTCTGAACGCAAGCACAACTTTCTTTCACGTGGGGGTCACAATCCTGTTCTGAACTGAAATTTCTCATATCTCACCCGTTTTCGGCTTTCCAGATTACTCCCCGAGAGCGACACTCGTTAAGGATGCGAGTATTTGAAGTTCCGCTTTCAAGCATTGGACGGCCTGCAAATTACCATTGGAGCCAAACTGTATACATTTTCTAGATGATCTTAAATACGGAGCGGTATTCTAAAGATGTAGTTGTGCAGTGTGTAGTTCGTAGATTACGAAACAACGGAGCGAGAATACAGTTGGCGTTCCGTTTTGGGTCAGTTATTTTGTTTTCCTTTTTCCATGTTTTAAAGTCGCTGTGCTTTATGCTCAGGATCGAAGCAAAATGTACAGGAGTAGGCTGCGATGTGATGCGTGTTGTATAAAACCAATAAACCAAAAATGGCATCTCTGTCTGCAAAGGGAAAAATCTGGACGAGGTCGACTACCTCAACAGCGCACCAATGGCAGAAGAGGACGATCCGGAGGACATGGGTGAAGACGATTGTGTGGTGGAGGTCGCAAATGTCCTACCTGGACAAAAAGCCAAGAGGGGAAGGGAGACTTGTTTCCGGAGGAGACATCTTCACATCGAGAGACTAACAATGACGCTCAGGAAAAAAAACACCACTGGCAAAAAAGACGTATTGCCTGGTGCAATGCGGAAAAGGCAGCTGTGATGAGGCAGCTTGGCGTGTTTGTTAGCCACATGGAGGTTTCTGGCCAAGCTGCATGCTTACGTGCCCTGTCAGCAGAAAATGCTCTGTCCTAGCGCTCATGGAGAGATGTTAAATCCATGTCCATAACGTGATTGTTAGAGCGCGTCGTAAGGCGAAATGAGTCTCAGTGACTTACACATTAGATGTCGACTTCGTTCACGTTTGGATGATGCTCGCTAGTAAATTTCGCAACGACAAAAAACGATCTCCTTGTTGTTGCTCCCGTTTATAGTAGCAATCTGTGTAGGTGGAGCTGATGAACGGTGAAAAAGCAGTGCTCACCAAGGGCAAGTATGGCGAGATTTGCAATTCTGGGCGGAAGATGACACCTAAGCACGGAAATAGACCCACCCCATTGGTAAAAATGCGTTATACCTGAATGTCAGTTTGGAAGCAAATTAGGTGTGTCATTCTCCTGTCGCATCTTTCCAATACAGGATTCAATGCAAATGCTTCTTTCTCTACGTCATTTTTGAGATCCGTTGGCAAATCTGACACCACTACACTTAACCAAAGCACACTTGTTACATTGGGAAGTGGTGGGCCACAGGGGCCTTTGACTAGTTTTTGAAGACTGGAATGGGCGCGTGGGCGTCGAGCACGAAATCTCGCATCAGCCAAACAGCCGACATGTTTATGAGGCAGCTCGTTTGGCTTCAGTGACTGACTGCAATGACTGTAACGACTGACTCATTGATTTTAGTGTTGCACGGTCCTCCTTCCTCGGTCAGCAGCTGATTGCTACATCCCGCCGCACCATAGATTCCACTTGTATGAAGGAAGTGCATATGCGTAACCAACACACGCAAGCCGTGGGAAGGCACATTTAACAGGTAGCGTGAGCACGTGACTCACAGTTACACCAACAGCGAACCATTAACCCACACTCAGTCGCATAAGAGGCCATCATTAAGTAGACCGCTGCATTGACGCCGGCACAAGCCGTATCCCAAGCGCGGGCTACAAACTGTACCCCACCAATCGAGGCCGCCGCGCACTCGCGCCGCCAGTCACATCCACAGCATTAGAGGCTGTGTACTGTCGCCCTAAGACACCGGGGTTCGCGAGCAGGGTCGAGCAACATGGGCTTTGTATACTGACTGGAACGTCGACAGTGTAGAAGAGACTGTCGGAGTCACCTGCGAATGAGATGAACGGCGGCTGCCCACCGAAGCACCTGAAACTGCAGTAGCTCGGTCAGCAGATAAACAGTTCCAGCAGCACCTCGAGTCAATTTTTCCACCGCTGTCTGGCGCGTCGCCTCCGTTGCCCGCTCCTCAGCCCCGGCCGCCCTCTGCTGCAACCGTTGCAACAGCAGAAGCTTCGGGAAAACCGCCGTCGAGTAGTGTGCCGCCGACCGGGTCATTGATGATGCTTTAGCACTATTAGCACTATTAGTGCTAAAGGGTCATGGAAACCCAAAAGGCGTTGGTTGCCCTTTCTCCTACTCTTACCGGGCCGTTGGGGACGGAAAACATTTAGTGTCCCGGGTGTCCAGCCGTCGGGGCAAACACTCATCGGGTAGTTTAATGAACTGCAGTCATTTGTTATGCGGTCCGAGGCGATTCCACAGCATGGAGCCAATGTCGTATGGAGGTCGATGGAGCCAAAATCCGTTGGTGATATCAACCCGCCTGGGGAGGGCTTTTTCATGAAGAGTGTTCAGCAGGTATTAACATGGCGTATGCTACTATTTATCCGACTTGATTTAGACTTTAACGGGACGGCCGAAAAGTGCACCATGATAAAATAGAGTAAAACGATTTTTATATTATAGATGAATGATTTAAGCAGCAGAAAGCCTACAATCCGCCGTTATTTGCCTATATCTGAACGCAAACCAACAGCCTGACGCGCAAGCAGGAGCGCAGGGAGGGAAGGCCACAGGGGGCACGTTCCCCCTGCCTAAGGTTTCAGGGGACCCGAAGGGCTTCGGGATTTACGATTAAGGGCCTGATTTGAGGGCCCAAAGGCCAGAAAGGTCGGCTGGAAGACTATTCAGAGCCCCGGCCGGCACAATGGGGCACTCCAATGCCAGCGATATTTTTGTTTGGGGGAGGGGGGGGGGGGCTTTCACCATTGGGGAGCCCTTTATCAACCTTGTGCGTGCCCCTGGCCCATTGCCAAGGCTCTGGCTGCGCGCTTGTGCACAAGGTAGCATATTTATATCTGGCCGTGTTTGGTTTGTCGCCGTCATCTTTCAAAGGTGGCCGCGACACTGGTTTATGAGATGGTCGTTGCCTCGCTGGTTAATTAACATGTTGGTTTCAAGCGAAACATTTGTCGACAAATATCCAAAACAGACTGTTCGACATCGTCTCTCACCGGTAAAGGGGCCCTCAGTTTCCCAGCAACCCCCAAGGAGTCCTTCTGAATGATGTTCGAGGCCCCCCGACCTGAAAGCCTTTGTCCCTTTGTCCTTAATTTCTAGGTGCAACTCCTGGTCCTCAATACACAGCTGAATATGACAGAAAAGTCACACACGGTCCTCTGTTATCACTATGTCCTCGGTATTTTCAATTGCCAGTGTAAGCTAAAGATGGCAGCTTTACCCCTCGAGCGACCCATCCTGTTCTTAAACGGCCAAATGGCTGCATGGCCTTCCAATATGGCTGCGATGCCGCCATTCGTTCGGGTGGTTCTCGGTAGTGACGGTTGAGTCAGGTGTCCCGTAAAGCACGGCACACAAGTATGTGTGTGTGTGTGTGTGTGTGTGTGTGTGTGTGTGTGTGTGTGTGTGTGTGTGGTGTGTGTGTGTGGTGTGTGTGTGTGTGTGTGTGTGTGTGTGTGTGTGTGTGTGTGTGTGTGTGTGTGTGGATGTTGTATGGGCGTGTGTGCGTAAGCGCCTGCATCGAATTAGGAACGTGAAATACAGCTCGCTGCGACAGCTGCACTACCCGGCCCGCGACATCTTCGTCTACGGCCAGTTCGGCGCCGAGCACGTCCGCATGGTCTTCGGCCGCAACGTTCAGCTGTCCGGCCACTCGTCCAGCTGCGCCGTCTGAGGTCACGCGTGTACCATCTGAGGTCACGCGTGTACCGTCGGAAGTCATGCGTGCACCACCGTCACACGTGCACTGTCTTTGATGACGCGTGAACCGCCATCACACATGGACTTTGTGAGGTCACGTGTGTACCGCCCGAGGTCAAACTGATAGCCCTTGTGGCCGTCTGTACCGCCTGAGGGCATCTATGACGGCTGAGGCCATCTATGCCGACCGTCTGTAGTCATCTGTATCGTCTGAGGGTACACGATACCGTCAAAGGGCACTGGTAAACCGCCACTGGTCACCGGTCACCGGTCACTGGTCACTGGTCACTGGTCACTGGACAATGGTGACCCATGGACGGAGGGTTCGTCTCTACCGTTTCCCGTGTATTGTCTGATGCACGTCTAGCCCTGTGTGCCGAAGACGGCTCAATTTGCCACGAAATTTGTATTATCCCTGTGGTTAAAGTTTGTCGGAGTACCTATGTCCCGATTAAAAGTACATGTTTCACCATAGGTAACCCGATACAAGCACTGTACGGTCCAAGGGTCCCCGGAGAGCATAAACCCACCCGGATGTACTAGACACCAGCCCGGCGCATGTGCAGTGCTAACAATGGTCGTGTCGCCTATGTAGCAAAAGGGCCTTGGTGAGCATGTTCGGTAATGTGTACTGGATGTTTAACCTCCCGGCTTGTACAGTAACACAGTATGGTGTGACGGTATGTTTTGCTTTCCCAGAGTTTGCCTCCCGACCTCGCCTTTAAGCACCTTGATGCGCTGGTCTCACCAAGACGTGGACCAGCTTTTACATATGCATGCATGTTGCATCGCTGTGGGATGATAAAAGGTCATTACACCAGCGCATGTGTGGTTTGCTTGCTTACTTCTATCTGTGTAAATTATACACCCGGCACATCGCGATACATGGCAAGTTACATGAACATATTTAAACAGTTACATAAACATTTTTTTCCAAAACCCTCCAAAAGCCAACATGATCTTAGAAACGGGTCATTGTGAATTCCCCCGTGGGGAAGAAATAAAAGCCATTTATTTGCCTTTCGTTGAATTTGCGTGATGCATCTTGTTTGTTTATGCTTTCCCCTAAAATGAGTGCGTCAAGCTTTCGTAGCTTTTATTACAGACGGATTTTGACGAAGTTGTATGCTGCAAACATAACAGAACACCGGAAAAGCGTGGCAAATGAAACTTTTACTTTCGTAATGGGGAACAAGGAGTCTACCGCGATTTCTTTCGCCAGAGCGGCTGACAAACGGAAGTTCTGAGCTTTGAGAAGGATTTCAAGAAATTGGTATTGTGCATAAAACCAGACACGTCTAATCTAATAATATGCGAAAGGTACAAAAAAGGTGCCCGTCTGCCCTTACGTCGCGACCCTTCTTGATAATGCAGGACCTAACCAGGTTCGCCCACATGGGCGTTGCGTAAATGGAAACGGGGTACTTGATGCGATTAGGAAAGGCGCGAAGCGGTGTTTTCTTTGCGTGAGCGGCGCGTTTGAATAATGATACTCTGGCAAGCCACAGGCGTAGAATGCGGCCTCTCAATATCAACAGAACAGGAGGTACTGACAAGCAGAGACATCGGTTAGCAGAACATGACACAAAACTCGGTGTTGTAGTGGCTTGACTTCCCAAAACCCAAATTTTGGCACGATGTCAAGCAACAGTATTCCA